AATTAAATGCTTACTACCTTTTAAAATTACTTATTTTTGCTGTTTTTCCTGCATTGGATACCTTGGAACAGGAGTTGAAGGTAGTTGTGATCTGCCATGTGAGTGCTGGGAATTGAACCTGTGTCCTCTAGAAGAGCAGTCACTTCTCTTAACCACTGAGCCAATTCTCCAGCCCCGAAATGCTTATTATCTTAAATGCTTATTTATATAGATGTGAGAATGTGCATTCCTCCATTGGTCAGAAACAGTGTGGGATTTCCTGGAGTTGGAGTCATTGATAGTTGTGAGCTGTCATGTGGGTGCTGAGACCTGAACCCAGGTCCTCTACAAGAGAAACAAGTGATTTAACTGCATAGAGATAACTCCAGCTCAATACTTAATGACTTTTTCTGCTTTTACCTTATTAATAGTCTTTGTGTGTGTGTCTCATAAGTGTTAATACTGAACATTTTGGAAGAAAAATTAATGAGTACAAATTACTTCTTAATATAAAACTAAAGTTTGGCTACTTATAAAACAGGAATGCACAAATGGATAATGTTACCTGGCTTTTAGTGCTTATTCAAGAGCATCAAAGAGATTATCAGCCTTTTACACCAATGGTTAATGTGATTTTTCCTCTGTAAAATAGAACAGCTGCCATTCACATCTCAGTAGAGTAATCAGAGAAATGTATGAGGCCTAAGGTGAAAGCATAGTGCCATTTTCACTGCATAGTTGTTACCATGCCTACAACTTGGGTTAGTACTGTTACTTATGCAGTACAAATTTGGAAAAGTAGATAATCAAAAAGTTACTTGAAATAATGTAAAGGTGAGAGAGCACCAGGCTGTAGCAAAGAATGATCATGGACAGATCTGATGGAGACACAGCCTGAATTTCTTTATATCTCCAGCATTCATTGTTGAATTTCTTTATATCTCCAGCAGTCATTGCTCAGTACACAGGATATCAGCTTTCTGCTCATAGTCTCCCCCAAGGAACACTAATGTTGCTTCTCATTAATTGAGAACTGTGAAAAATGAGCCCAAAAGATAAAAATATATGAACATATAGACCTTGGAAATATTTAAAGACTTACTATAGTAAAGCATATGATGTATTATCTACAGTTATAACACCTAATCACCCAGAAGTTATTCCAAACTTACAGATGAAGACACAGCTGCACAGAGGAAAACTAAACTTGAAGAACTTGTATCATCTAAATACTGAGGGTGAGCATTGTTGTTCAGCAATCATGAAGGTATCTTCTTTCATTTGTACCTATTGATTAATTAGTTATTTAATTTTACCTACTAGAGTGTCTAAAAATCTACAAATATGTCTTAGAGTTTAAATATTTACAAGCTATGCAAACTGACATTATCAACAACTAATACTTTTTCTTTCTTTATTACCTGGCTTCCTCAGTACTGGATATATGATCAGACTTTCCAACCTACAGATGCATAAGAACTCAAACAAAAAAACAGAGTTTTAGCAAAAGTATTATATCATAAGTATATTCTCATTGGAAGAAATTATTCATTTATTAAGTACTGTCATTCCCTTAGTAATCTATTTATTTCTTAAAACCAATTGTATGATCTTCAATTATGCAAATTATTTTAAGAAGAGATACACATTAAACAGAGTAAGTTATGAATAACTAAATTGTTACTTATGAATAACTAAATTGTTACAGCCTTTCACAATAATAAAACAATTAAAATTTAAATTAAAGCAAAATGAAATGAAAACACAGTTTTAGGTACATAATGCAAAGTAGTGAAATCATCCTCCTGCCTCTAGTTCCCCAGTGCTGAGTATAAGCCAACACCAGCATGGCCGGTTTCAGTAGTGCTGGGAAATGAGTCCAGGTCTGGTGCTAGAAATAGGAACACTCTCCCCACTGAGCCACATCCCCAGCAGTAAGTCTCTGAATAAAGATGCTCACTGCAGCCAGATAGTTCTCAGCCTAGAGGTGAAATCCTGATGCATTAGAAACACTGTCAAAAGATATAAGGCTCACAACAATCCCACCTAGTTCTCCTCATGGTCAGAGTCAATGTCTCCCCATGTATCTTTGCCATCAATTTTCCAGAGTCACTTGGGAAATAGTCCTTTGTGAAAAGAGAAGAGTAAGTTTGGTGCAGTATTGGAGTCATGATGTCAATCAGATGGCAAAGGTGACTTCATAGACCTTCAAGGATACTCACAATTGTCATATAATATCATAGGGATTTATCATTCTGAAAGTCGTTATGTAATCTCAGCTAGCCTGAAACTGGTGTTCTCCTGCTGCAACTGCCCAAGACCTGGTGCTATGGGTGTGTTTCACCAGGGTCAGATTCAGAAAATGTCTTTCCAATTGAGAACTTGGGAACTTGTGTTCTAGATAATTTGATTTAAAATTGTGCAGTATCTTTCAATATCCCAGTAACCAATCATGAATGTTTCCTAAGATAGAGCTACATATTTTTGAACAGATCTGCTATAAAGTTCTTGCCCACAAACAACTGAAAACCCTGGCTTGACCCATGAACTACACAGTGGGGGCTGGAGTATGGTGCTGTGTTTAACAATACCCACTGCTCTTGCAGGGAAGTACACAGGGCAGTGCACTATCACTTGAGTCCAGATCTAGGGAATCTGAAAAACTCTTCTAACACACAGGCACTAAAGTCACATGTGGAAATCCACAGAGACACAGGGTCTATTTTTAAAACACTATACAATGAAATTAACAGAATAAATATAACTAAATATATGTGTATATAAATGATTTAAAAATGAAAGATGAAAAGTCATTAGGGCTTGTTTTTCTGTTAGGAACAGGAGCAAATTCTATAGAAAAGCACATAAGCATTTATTATGATACACATAAACACACAGGGATTTCTACCTTTTGAAATTAGTACTCTGATCCCAGGGTCTTAGCCTTCATTGAATTTCTGTGTGTCTAAATCCCTGGCTCTTATGTATTTTATGGGACAGGGTTCTCATCTACTCAAAATGTTTTTACATTTCTTCTGAATAAAACTGCATAGAAAAGTCCAGGCTGATGTGCAGTAAAGTGCCAGAATGTCATTGATCTGAGACTGACCTGAAGCACTGAGGTCCGATCATAATAAATATGATATCAGACACAACCGGGGAGAAGAATCCATCACCCTAGGCAGGTGAGATCCCTATTTTTGAGACAAAACTCCTTAACAAATATGCTTAATTGACATATCTAACATGGCCTTTTCTTTGGCATTCAAATCACCCACTGAAACTTAGTAGTTGACATTGATGAAGAACAAATTAACATGTAATAGGACTTCAATAAGCTGATGAATTCCATATTATCTCAGTTACTTCTTTTCCCCACATTAGTGGCAATGAAATCCAGGGCATCAGGCACACTGAGCACACACTCTGCCCCCGAGACCACCCCAGTCCTTCTTCCCATCTCCTCTCAACACCTTAGAAAGTCCATAGTATTTTTATCCTCACATATCAGGGTAAAGGGGCAGGACTGTCAGCACCCTCAAAGACAGTAAATGACCAGGGTGCAAATATGAGAAACTTATATCACCGGCCCTCTATTTCTAGATACATGATTACTATGGCTTTCTAGGAAGGTGAGTGATGAGGCTGAACATCCATGAGGGTCAAAAAAGGATGACAATACTTATCAGGTCTATGTCCTTGCTAGGAACATGGCCTCAAATTCTTGTACCCAGATACTTACGCAGAAGAGAGCTGAGTCCTGTTTATGGGGATGGAAGCCCCTCTTGGGGCAACATGAAATTTCTTTTAACCCATAGGATGTCAATGTGAAAATTCCAGTTCTGAAAACAGAAAAAGTAGACTCACAGTCAAACAGATATCGCTGCAACTCTCACTCCTCTCTCTCCCTTCCATCACTCTCTCTTTTCTTCCTCTCTGTCCTCTCCTATCTGTGACTTCTTTGCTTTCACTTTAACTTCTCTATCCCTTCCCCCTCCTCTGCACCTGTCTTTCCTCTGAAGTGCATAATTCTTTCTCTAGCACAGGTGTTGTGGAAGTCTTCCTTCTATTAATAGTGATCACTGTCTTAGGTGTTCTGTTAGGCCTTGTCTTCTTTGTCATAGTCCTAATTGCCCTCCCTCCTGCTCTACTTCTCCTCTTGCTTCTTCTCCTCTTCTTTGAGTTCCTCCTCATTCCTCCCCTTCTTTTACCCCTCCATGGGCTCCTCTCTCTGTGTTTTCTCTCTTCTCTCTCTCTCTTTATCCCTTCCTTGTAGTTTGACTTAATGAAAAAAATGAACTCAACAGTAGACATGAGGAGGAAGATAAATCAAGCAAAAAAATAGATTTGTTCAGGCAAATTATTCTCAGGAAAAAATACAATTTGTGCTAACACCTGAGACTACTAGTGGCTACCAAAATTATTCCAAAAAAAGCAGGATGATTTATTGCTTCCCCAACACAAGCTCTGCTGAGGAATTCAAACTAATGTGACATTGGAAATGATATGGGATGACACTCTTATGCAGTGTCTGTTGTGGAATTTCTTCAAACTCTGGCTCTTGAGGTCACTTCTTGGCAATATGTCTTAGAACACCATCAGTGGTACCAGCACGTCTTTTAGGTGCAGCTGGTGTTAATTAGGATGTGCACCTTAAAGGGAGGCTTCTCTAGCATTCAGTTGAGACCCTCAGGATATTGCTTAGTTTGTAAAGTGTTTTGAGTCATAGAAGATTTTGCTCTTAAACCTTCCAGGCTTAAATTCTACATTCTCACTGTTTATATTTGGGTGAGCACACCACTGCAATTGACTCTGGCAGCATCTTCTGGTAGCAAAAATGTGTGTGTATATCCACACTCAACAAGAAGGCTGTTTGGGTTGGATGGGTCTAAGGAGACAAAAGAATTGAAGAAATGCCCGTGAGCCCCATGTCTGATCCAAGGCAGGGGGTTCCAAGGAGTTTCACCAACTGGCTCCAACTATGACTCCCCAAATCATGCCAGGACAAATCTCTGGTCTGCTAGGTTGAGAAGTAAGAAGAAATGATCACTTTTGTCCTCCTCATCCACAAAGGTCTGAAGAAGCAGAGCTTATATCAATTACTTCTTAGGTGGTCCCTCACTGAGGACAAGATCCTTTATTCATCCATGCCTAGTTATACCTGATGACTAAAGAGTAACCATTCCATGTTTTGTCCTTCTACCCTACCACTGCTTTCCTCCTGCCCACAGCAGAATCTGATTCCATTTTCACCAATAATTCCCATGTCTACTTCAAACAACAGTTCAATAGTCTCTCTGGGTCTTCAACTCCTTGCCTTCAATCCTGCCACTGGAACCTGTGTGATTTCTCCCTATGTGAAGAGGAGCCCAATCTGGCCTTATTTTATGGCACTGTACCTACTATTGTCGCATTATCTTATGCCTCTTCCCTCCCCTCCTTCAGTGACTCACCAGATGTAAGCATACTTCAGACAATTGCATGCCACAGTGGGGATGAAACAAGCACATGTTAAGGTAAGGAAGCCAGATGTAAAAGTCAAATATCTAACCATTGCTTTTCAAGGCACAACAGTACTGAAATAATGATAGCATGGAGGGAGGTACACTTAGGACATAAACTCTAATGATACTGAATAAAAGATGCTTAGAACAAGAGGGGAATCAAAAGAAGGAAGTTGAAAAGCTGTTTCCATAGATGTTTCCTCAAGGAGTCATTGGACTACACTGTTCATGTATGTATACTTACAAGTAAGATACATTTTAAATTATAAAACATTTGTAAAATTAAAGTTATTAAAATGGAAAAATCAATAAAAAAAAACCAAGTAGACAAAACCTTGATCAAACCATTTCCCAGTGCCCGTACAATTGAGGACTCTCTTGACCCAGTTCTGCAAAGAGTGGTCTCATCACTCTCCTTTTCCTTGAGATCTACAGCCTAGATGAAAGCCACAACATGATAGTCCTGTGAGACTCTGTATAGCCATAAATTCAGCACATTTTTTCAAGCTTAATTCTTCTCTTTACTACATGTTGTTGCCAAAGTCATTATAGAGCATTCTTCCTCCTGAATGACAGGATTCCAGTACTGTGCCAGTACAGCCAGTTTTCTGAGTCTTCTTTGAACCATGAAGCCTCAGGTTACAATGACCTGCCTAATACTCATACGCTGACCTCCTCAATGACCTCCAGCAGGGGAACTGAATCTACTTCTTGATGGAGACTGTACCTGGGTTACATCATGTATTCTTTCTTTCACTGTCCTCGTTGTGTGGCTTCTGTGAATCCCATAACCAGTTCTCCTGCAGTCTTTTGTCTCTAACATCCCCACTGTGTTCCTGCTCTCCCCATTAGATCTCCTCCTTAGCTGTGAGGGAAACAATTCTCTTGCTCTCAGAACTCCCCATTTATCAGGTATTCTGAGCACTCTGCAAACAAAAACCTCCCATGTCTATCTCCTGCCTTCACCTGGCTTCCCAGAACCTCCTTCCAACTGCCAGCAATGGCTCCACTTATGGGATACCTAACATGTGCCTTAAATACCACAAGGTATGACTGAACTCCACTTCCAAAGTCAGTCTTCCTCTAGATACCCTACTCATGCTAATGAGAGGATCACTGCCACCCCAAAGGACCCAACTACAAGGTTGCCCTGTTGCAGATTTCTCAACCTCTATTCCTTGGTCCTGAGTCTCTGAAACACCAAATTCCTAACACATGGCCATCATCCTCTAATCATCATTGGAAGTTAGCAACTCCTAATCATTAAGTGACCTCCCAACTCCAACCAGTCTTGCAACTACCTCATTTTACCTTCTGGAGTATGGCTTTAATCACATCATTGTTCTGCCCAAAATAAGCTGAAGAGCTCTCCCTTTACTCAAAAGCACCACTCTTCTTCCTGCCCCTACCCAACAATAAGAGCATGGCTTTAGGGGTCATGTTGAAACAATACTGCCATTCTTTTCTAACACCAACCATAATTCTAAGCCAACAAAACTGCTTACTGATACAGGGTAACACCCCTTGGAATCTCTTTTGTCTCCTCTTTATATGTCATCATAAGACACCTCAAGTGGGACTCCTCTTGAAACACACAGTTCCCTATATCTACCTCCTGCATTGCACTCTGCCTCATGTGAATTGGTGCTAATTTTCTGTGTTGACTCCCATTTATGTCCAGGAACAATGGGGTAGATTTCCATCATTCATGGTGTATTATTGTCGGGCAAATAAGTCTATTTCTTATGGAATTGAAGCATGAAGACCCAGAAGACTGTTCACATATTAGCACTGCCCAAGTTGTGAGTACAAATACATTTGATCTCTCAAAACCTAGAAATAGCCACCTGAGTGTGGCTTTCACTGTCCCATTCCAAAAACAGCTGAATATTCTGTGATTTTGCGGCCGTGAACAGAAGAGAACTATTCACTAGGACTCTCTATGGAGGAACTATGTTTCCTTGAAGATCATGACAAGTCTACACAGCATGTCCAAATACTTGAAAACCTTGCATGAAAGAGCTCTTTGGGTGTTCACAAAACAAGTGCTTCTTCATAAATTGCAAAATGCAATCATGAGAATGAACACTCAGTTGACTTAGTTGAAATGCTTCCATACAGCTTTTAGGTACGTGCTGTCTACAGCACTTTCTCATACATCTTCGGGAAGCTACTATTCTCTATGCACTCACAAGGAAGGTGATCTTTGAAGAACTACACTGAGGAAAAGGTGAATTATTAAAGATGAAGTGTACCAGGAATGAGACACAACACTGGAACACTAGTGACTGCATGTGCTCATAGATGGAGGAACTAGAATGGTTTGACTCTGTGCAGACAAAGATCTCAGGAGTGTACATGGAAGAGCAGCTCGCCACCAGTGAGGTCAATATGCTTACATGAACCCAACCTAAGGTGAGAAGGCCTAGTTATTCTTGCTTAAAAAATAGCTCCTCCTCCTTCTGGGCATAACAGTAATCAGGCCCTCCTTTCTGGACAGGAATGATGACATGGGTAACATGGTCTGCTTCCTTTACCTGCCAAAAAAATGCCTTGTTAGAATTCCCTGGCACTGTCAATATAACTCTCTCATAATGTAAGTAAGTGAAGTCCTCATACCATTGAATGTCTCTCATCCTTCTCCCTGACCTCAGTGTTTCCCCACCTTGACTGCTCCAGTGTTTTTCTGGGTTACCATATAAAAGCAGGGATGAACATGGGATGTCACCCCTCTTAGCACACCTTAGGGCCAGGGTCTTCCCTACAGCAGCCAACAGGTCTGTTCAGAAGTCTTCAGATGTTTAATTTATACTCTAAAACTGAGCACAGAGTAGGTGCTCAGATCAGACCACATAAGTTATTGAGTGTTCCTGTTTTTAGAATTAGCTAAGGTGCTCTCTGCATGCCCCAATCCAGGGTTTCTGTCTGTCAGCCTTGTTGCATTTACTTCAGTGTCTCACTCTGTATATGAGCCAGTTTGAACTTGTAGTAAGCCTCCAGTGTCAGTTTGCCATTGACTTCAACTACAGTCATTAGCCATGACTAGGATGAATATTTCTAACTATACCATTGAAGTAAATTGCTCAGTTCAAGAGACTCTGATAAGCAACCTAATTCAAAGTCATCAAATTCAAGGTAACTCAGTTCTTGTCACCCATGGCTCCTTCTGTGGAATGATATGTATGGACACAGCCATTGTATATCTTTATGGGAGTGGGCAGCCAAAGGGGAAGAAACAGCCTCAGATCAGGAAGGAGTTTTCATATCTTTACCAGGGCACCACATAATACACCGCATGTCTCTATGCCTTTCTTGGTGTTCTTCCGTGCAGAATGGAGAAACTGATCGCAAAGGTCCTTTGGAAGGACCACAGGGTGGAGGCCTTTGAAGTTCTGACCTGCAATGGAAAAGAGAGAGAAGTCTGAGGTTACAGGATCTGGTGGTCCTTAGCAGAGCTCAGTCTGTTGGCCTGAAGGAAAATCACAAAGTCATTAGGAATCTCTCCAGGAGCCTCTTCCCCATAATGGAACCACAAAGCAGGCAGGGAGTTTCTTCTCCAAGTTCTGGACACAGCTGAGTGGTAGCTGTGAGCATGGACTTCACTGTCAGTTTGAATGGATGGAACAACATGTTTCTGGGTGTGACTGTGAATTGACTGTAAAGAAACTTCTAGACAAAGTCCCCTCTCAAATCAGGTGGGTACATGAAGCCCTTTGGGAATGCAACAGGACAAACAGACCAAGAAAAGGAAATCTTCTGATGTGTCTGTCCTGGGACAGACATGTCTTTTTTGTCCATGGTTCAGATCGCCGGGTTTGCTGGCCTCTGCACTCTCATTTCTCTGGTTTCTCATGGGTCTTGAGACCGAGTCTCTCAACAGTGGCTTTCATGGTCTATGCCTTTATTCCAAACATGAGCCTAACTACTAGTATTCCAAGCTTCCACCTTGAAGAAAGCTTGTGGAGGGCATGTTCGGCCATGAAGATCATTTTCTCCAATAGCTGTGAAGCCACAGATCACCATCAAATTTTCAGAGGTTGAAGATATACAGAAACATACACAGACTTACTCAAGGACACACCACCCTAGATAGTCCCCAGTAGGGCATACTGTAGGGATGGCAAAGTCCCTTTAACCCTAGAACTTAACGGACATCCATGTGTACATAGCAACTAAAAATGCTGTGTCACTACACTTCAACTGTGAGTGAAGTTTGTGCACTAAGCTCAGCAAATCTTAGCTGGGACCACTCACTCCTGATTATTTCTACATTCTGATAGGAACAGAAGAACTAATTCATGCTCATATGTTATATCATGCAGATGTGTAGACTTCTGAGTGCACCGGCTCTAGGCTGGCTAAGACTGAGTTTCTCAGTGGCATCTGGAAATGTTTGGATTGCTGAAGGCACAGGCCTACAGCTGAGAAAGGCTGACTCTCACCCGGGACTATTGAGAAGAACATCGCAATTTGCTTCAGGTTCTCACACAAGAAGAGTTTTTGTGTCATGCCAGACAACAGAAGAATCAACCAATACTTTAGAAACTTGTGAAAAGCCAGCCCAGGGGATGCACATTTGGAATGTCAACATTTACTTGGTGAGATGACAGAATATCAAATCAGGCCTATTCAGGTTGTAAATCTGATCTGCGTTAAACTAACTTAAAGGCTTTTTTTTTTTTTACAAGAAGTCTGGGTGGCAGGAAGGAAAGAGACAACACTAGTCACAAGAGGTTCTGTTACCACAGCAAAGTGGACCCATGGAAGCCAAAGACTGAGGACATGGAAAAGGGGATGAAGCTTTCTCTGTGCTGCTCAGTGCTCCAGACTTCAGACATTCAACATCACCACCTTAATTTACTGGTGAGCTTCAGTCTCAAATGTGTCCAGATGCAACAGAGTCCACTTCCACATAATCCTTCCATGTCATGAACCTGTAGTGACTTACATGGACTTTCCACCATCTGAGGCTCCCCACCATGTGTGTCTGAAGATGTTTTGGGGGTGATCTCTTCAACGGCTTCCTGTGGGGTGCTTTCTGCTGCGGATTCTTCAGCACTTTTAAGTGTTGATGCCAGGCTGGGGCCCGTCTATCCACTCCTATCTTTACCAATGCCATCCACCAGCCTATCCAGAAGAGCGCTCCATTTGGCAAAATTTGGGGAGTTTTTTATCGTGTTTCTTACATCTTGCCAGAAGACCTTTTTTTCTGCCTCTTCCTCTTCTCTTTTTTTCTATAGAAAGAGAAATAGTACTACTCTAAACTTCAAATCTCAGAAGAAAAAGGCTTGTCAGCAATTAGATGAACAAAGTGCAGGTGTGTTCATGTCTGCCATCTCATCATGGGTCCATGCTCCCCTTCATAATCCTGGTACTATTAAAAACAATGATCATCCCCTTAATCAGTGGCTGTATATCGGTCTTAAGGGACAATTCTCCCTCAATATTCTGAGTACCCTAATGCACATGTGTGTGTGTGTGTGTGTGTGTGTGTGTGTGTGTGTGTGTGTGCATGTGTTGTCTTGTATAGGTACAAGTGCATGTGTTTGTAAGGGATTGTAGTGCCTATCCATTGGATCACAGACTCCACTGACAGGGTACAACACGGTCCCAGGACACAGGAAGACTAGGTGACACAAAAACATCCTGTGTTCATGCTCATACACTGACCTTATCTGCAAGGTATTCTGCAAACTCCTTGCTGTACTGCTCCAGGAGTTTGCTCTTCAGGATCTCAGCTTTTTCAAAGACCCTATTTATTGTCTGTAAAAACAAAACCAAAATGGAGACTTAGAATAGCCCTAATGTCAGACTAGAGGGGAAGAAAACAAGTGGGGAGAGGCACCAGTATCTTATGCATGACTTGAACCCCTTCCATGCCATCCCTTTCCTCTGTACTTTGATTCAGAGGCAGCATCAGGTCACCTCCCACCGAAGATGAGGATCTGTGATGTTCTCTGAGTAGCTCCCTATTGCTGTAGAGAATTTAGGTCAGCCACATAGACAATGAAAACCCACCTTGTTGATTTTGGATCTTGTTCCCTTGGAAAGGGAGTTTTGATATTCTGGGCCTTTTCTGAGTTTCTCCACAAAGAGTCTAAAGGAATAAAGCAGAGAGACCAAAGTGTGCAGAAAAGTTCCAAATGTCTCAATGAGGCCCTGAAGAAATTTGGTCTCTCTATGCAGAGTTTAAGAAGTTCTTTCAGTGAGAACAGTCACTTCCTGAAGTCCCTCACCCCTTTCCTTCCCAGTGCCTGGGGAGAGAAAGGAACTCACTATTCTATCAACTGGCACCTTCAGCAAACATCATCTATCAAGAAGTATAGGAAAGCCAACATGGTGGATGCTTGTCATCCCAGCACTCAGGCAAGAGCAGATAGAGTTAATGACCTCACAGAAATGTGGGGAAACAGATCCTCGTCCTGAACTTCAAAATAGGATACATACCGTGGTCTCATTCTTCCACTCATAATAACTGTATGGATGCTTGCTCACACAGCATCTTAGTGAATTGTTTCCCGGCAGGGCACAACATCAACTCCGAGAACAATAGGCAATGAAAGGATACTCTGGGGGTACACTGAGCTGTGGAGAGCTGTGCAGTGGAAACTAGAGGGATGACGCACAAGAAAAGCCTGCTAACCATCCTCAACACTCCTGTCAGTCCAAGAACCAGGAACGACTCTTGAGTGGAGGGTGGTATTGAAAACTGAGTGTGACAAACTGATGTCTGTGGGCGGGACACATAAATTCTCTAGTAAAAGTTATTTGTCTTTGGAAGGGAGAAGAAGTGAGAGGGATTTTTAATGCAATCTCAAGAGTTTGCCTTCACCTCACAGAATACCAACATGGAAAACTAAATGAAGCCATGTTCTAGGAGTTGTAAACTGTGGTATCTGAGTTCATGTCTAAATCTGAGCTTTCTCTTCCTCTGTGGTACATGATGCTAATCTGCCTACTCAGCACACAGTCTACTGAAGATCAATGATGCTATGCCCACAGTCTTTGTCTTTGGAAGGGAGAAGAAATGAGAGGGATTTTTAATGCAATCTCAAGTGCTTGCCTTCATCTCACAGAATACCAACATGGAAAACTAAATGAAGCCATGTTCTAGGAGTTGTAAACTGTGGTACCTGAGTTCATGTCTAAATCTGAGCTTTCTCTTCCTCTGTGGAACATGATGCTAATGTGCCTACTCAGCACACAGTCTACTGAAGATCAATGATGCTATGCCCACAGAGCTCTTCCCCAGTGCCTGGACAACTTGCAGTCACTGCACATATCTCCTTAGGTTCTGTTTCAGCAAACTCATGGTTAGGCATGAGTGGTGAGATCTTTACTATCTTTGCCTTCCTCAAACACAGAACATTCTTGTCCCTGAGGATGTAAGAGTCATTCTATGGTGACAGCTCTGCCACCTTGTAGCTATACCACCTACCCAAGTAGCACAGGGACTGTGGTGAGCCACGTAGACCCCAGGTGACTGTTTAGCTACATTAAAGTCTAACTTCTACTTTACTAATGAATAGGCCACAGGATTAAGAGAATGGGATTCATGGCTCTGCCACACAGCAATAAGCCTGTGACTGGATGCCTGTGTGGAGATAGAGCAGGCAACACACTCACCTATACAGACACATCCTGTTTACCTGCCATCTATTTCTTCTAGAATCTGGGCCATGTGGGCACAAGCTCGTGAACTACTCTTGAAATCCCTTATTTGTGATACCACCACCTTTGGTCCTCAAGTCTTTAAATAGCAAGGAAAATCATGTGTGTGAGCTCCCATAAATCTAAATAAAAGATGTCTTTGTAAAGTTCCATAAGGTCAGCACAGCTGACAAGCATGAAGAGGAGGACAGATGGGATCAGTCACAGGATAGGAGATGGAAACTGCAGGCTCTCACGTTAAAAATTTGTGGTACTCCACAAAAGCTTCTTCTTCCAGTCCTTTTTTTTCAAGGTCTGCTGCAATCTTTATGAGGTCATTCCTCATTTTTATATACATTTCACAGGGTACTTTACTGCTGACTTCAACTTTAAGCCCCGCAGAAATTAAAATTTGCATCTGCTCTTGGGGCAGAAGAGTTACATCTTCATATTTTCGGGTGGTGCTCTTTTTCTAAGACAGAAAACAGAAGATGAGGAACACTAGAAGCCATCCCCTGATATCCTGCTGCCCTGTCATTCTGTTGTCTACAACACACATATATACAGCGTGTGTATTTTTGTGGGTATGGTTGTGTGTGACAAAGCTCTTACTACAAAAATTAGAGGAAATAAAACACCACATTTGGTAATACAGCTCAATAGGTTTAGTGAACAAACCCGGCCTAGTATCCCCTTACTATAGTAGTAAAGGGGTTGATGTGGGAGAATGGGAGAAAGGAAGGAGAGGTAACTGGGATTAATACTTAAATTACATAGTTTTGAAGTTCAATAAAAAGGGCACCACATCTTTAAATTTGCCATATATGTATATGAGTGTAAACAAAACAACTACTTTTTAGTAGCAATGAGACTTACCTCTTGTGGTGCCATATCAGTGAAAATTCCTGCACAGCTCTGTTGTTTTCTGAGGCAGGATTTAAAAAATTTACCTGTCACCAGACATACAAGAAGTTAGGAAAACAGATCCTTTGCTACTCCAATAATTATATGTTAATTTATGCATTTCTAAGTTACTGAGCACTACCCCCATGGAGTTGCAGGATTTAATACTAAAATTCAGTTGATGAGATAGTAGTCACATCCTAATTTCAGTTTCAATTGAAAAAAACTGGTATTAAATCAATCTTTTTCAAAACTTTACATTAGATGCCAATTTGAGATGGCAGTGGCTGCTGGCATCCCCGGAACCATGGAGAAGCTCCAAGGAGACTTACAGACCCATGCAGGCACAGAGGGGAGAGGAGACAGCAGAGGATGAAGAGAGCACAGCATCTCAGAAACAACTAAAAAATTCAAGTCTTATGGGAAGATGCTTTTAAAAAATGGTCTCATTAAATTGAAAAAAAATAAGTGGCAGATGGCAGAGCAGAGAATCATGCACACACCAGACAAATGGATCCAGAGCTGCAGAAGCTCACACTAATGGAGATGGAGAGTGGTTCTTTGTCTGGATTGGGCCTCCTCAAAAGACCTCTATGGACTTTATATCTTGAGGTCATGTTGGTGTCCATAGTGAAGGCTGCCACCAGAAACCATGTGGAAGACCAAGATCTGTGCTGTCACTGGCTGTTATGGCCTAGGAAGCTTCCTTTGTAGTGGTACCTATGTCTGCAGCCTCATAACTGAGAATGAGAAACTGTCACAGAAGACTTTTCCTTCCCCATAAATAAAAATAGAGACCCTAGACCAGAAGCCACTGAAGACAATTCTTAAATTGTAATAAAGATTTTGAAGTGTTGCTCTAAACCCTTGATGGCTCTGGCAGGAGGAGTGGCTGTTGGATGTGGGGAGGGACTCAGATATCTTTAAGGGGATGGTCAGTCAAACTTTTACCATGCTCCAGGGATTATATTGACAACACAAATTAGGCTTGCTGTAGTCTATTTCTTCTTTAAAAAAAAAAACAAAAGTGTTTGTGGATAGACTTGGGAGGAAGAGGAAGCTAGTGTGATTGGATGCATTGAATAAAATCCTCAAATAATAAAAATATGATTATGGAAAAATTACAACACATTTTATCATGATAAATGATACCTTTAAAACTGGACATGTTTTTATTTATAGGGCATGCACTCAGGGAATTCATTATGTAATAGAGGGTGCTAGCCATAAGCCTGTGGTGACTCAGCTACCTCAGCTCCCAAGTGCTCATGGAACAGACCTGAACAAACAGTCCTGGAACTGACACTACTTCTGCAGAGTTTGTTTGGAGGATCACAGCAGGGAACACAGTTGCTCCTGTGCCCCACCCATGAAACACAAACCCAGTCTCTCCCTTGAAGGTCCAGCCCTACCTGAAATCTCTCAGGTCTAATGGTTTCTCATTGATACCTGAGTTGAACCAAGCTGCCTATCCATCCCAGTCAGCCCAGACAAACCAGCTCATAGAGGAGAGGCAGGTGTGGCAGGCAGTTCCCCTGACATCCCAACACCACAGGTCTACAGCACTAACATGGAAATGCTAATGGGACAAACTGAGTGAAGGGAAGAATCATGGCCCTTTCTTATCCTCTCTACATACTCATCTCTCTCTCTGCTTCAGATGAAACAGTCCCAGAAACTCTCTGGTTTCCTTCTCTATATCATGCTCCTAAATTCTCAGTTTCTCAAAGAGCCCTGAGCCCCACAAGACTGTTGTTTCCCTAAGGAAAGTAAAGACACATTTAGTGACATGGTGGAGAAATGCTCTATCCAAATTCAAACTCCTGGGAAAAGTCAAATTTAAGACCACAGTTAGGCCATCAGCCTGATGTTCAGCACTTCCCCCTTCATCCCAAAGTGTATTGGTGCCTCCCAATTTAGGAAGATGTCCAATTAAACAAATATTAATATTTCTCTTCCTACCTGACATCTTCAAGTCAGGAACAATGAACAAAATGAGTAGATCTGGATACAGGGAGGGTGTTGGTTTCAAAAAGGAGTAGGATCTGGGTAATGGGATGAGGAAATGGATTGTTGGGTTTCACAGTAAAAGATCCACGTCTGTGCAGAATCAAAGATGCTCAGCACTGAGGAACGTTTTGTCAGTTATTTCCAAGGTAACCTCAAAACTCTATCTGGTGCTGATTGGCTGAGGGACTATGATGTCATCAAGCAGGTTAAAGCCAATAGGTATCCCAGGAGCCATGTGTTAAAGGGACAGTGAACACCTGCAGGAAGACTAGAGCAGCCCTACATGGCTGCATTCTGAGCTGCTGAAGTGATACAACCCGGACTTGACAGTTTCTGTTTCTAAACCCCTCAGTTTAGGAATGGTGTGGCATGTTCAATAATAAAATGAAATCATTGATCATTGACACATGATTTTCACATTTCAACTGATAACATTAATATATTACTATGCACAGATGATGTCCTTGGTGTCTTAATTGCTGTTTTACAACTGTGAAAAGCCACCATGAGCAATGCAACACTTCTGACAGGAAGGATTTAATTGGGGGCCTGCTTACAATTTTAGAGTGAGTTTATGATCACCATGTTAGGAAACAGACATCAAGCCATGACTCTGCAGTATAACTGAGAGCTTTTCATCCTGATCCACAGGAGGCATCTGAGAGAGAGAGAGAGAGAGAGAGAGAGAGAGAGAGAGAGAGAGAGACAGACCTTCAGCCGGTTAATGGAAAAATAGTATCTCATTTTCTTATTACGATCATGACATTTGAGGTTTGTTGGTGATAGTATATGTCACCAAGGGTGTGTGTGTGTGTGTGTGTGTGTGAAGAGAGAGAGAGAGAGAGAGAGAAGACCCAGAAGCTGAATGAAGGCAGTCCTCCTGAAACTGTGTCATTTAATATTTGGCAAAGTGACTGCATCATTCAAGGATCAAAGGACATGATTGAAGGCCCCTTTGGACAAAATGTGGTACATTTATACAATGGAGTATTACTCAGCTATTCAAAAATGACATCATGATACTTGAATGAAAATAGATGGAAACATAAAAATCATTCTGTGTGAGGGAATGCACACCCAGAATGATAAATATGGCATGTATTCACTTATATGTGGATATTAACCTTATAGGTTGGAAAAACAACCTATAATCCATATCACAGGAGAGCTTAGTGATAAAGGAGTGAATTGGGTGTGGGCATCTCACATGCATCTCCCATGGGCGGGGGGTGGGGTGAGGAATGAAATAGGTTTTACAAGTGGACAGGGGCCATGTTCAGAAGTGAATAGGTGGATCACCTAGGGACGTGGAGATAAGAGATTTGAGGGAGGGAATTTGAGTAGAGACAGCTGGAATTGAGGGGTATTTGAGGAATGACACAGAAAACTAGTGCAGTTGGAAATTCCTAAGCTATAAAAAAGTGATCCTAATGAGGTCTAATGTTGGAAGATTCAAAGTCCCAATTGGCCACTTCTTGTTACCAAAAGAGGCTTCCGGTACTAGCACTAGGCTGCATTGAGTTCAGTTGTTGGGCAAGTGCATAACAGGAAAATCCCCAAAATACCCTGGCTGTTGCTCAAACAATGGCATGCTCTCCGTTGAATGATAGTGGGGCCCCATTGCTGAGGACAACGTGCATACAACTCAGTAAACATGAAGTCAATCTGATGCCTACATGGAGCCTCCACCCATGTGTTCTAGTCTCAGTGGTTTGTGAGGGTACTTTCCAGGCTACAAAAGAGAAACATAAACACCAACCTAGCCACAAAAACTTTGACCTTTCCTGCCTACAAGATATGATAGAGCAACTAAATACTCTAATGAAAAGTATCATGAAATATACATTCCAAATACATCCTGTATTTGCAGATATTAGAGAAATCATGTGAATATCCAATGCTTGACTTGTTCTATTTTCATGAAAGATTAGTGGTTTTAGAATTCAAAATCACATTAATAATACATGCTGCATGTATTACCTTGTAATGAGAGAGCTTTACTACAAAGAATATTTTACATTAGAAACCTGACTTGAATTGCTGTTGGTGTGTCATACACATTGTCTTCCTATTCCATAATAAGAAATATCAAGTAAAAACATTTATTTTCTTACTGTTAGAGACTTTGTGGCCACTTTATTGCTTTCAATGCCTTATTCTGTGAGGATTTTTTATTCTGAGTGAAGAAACCCAAGGGTTATTTATTTAATCTTCTCTTTAGTTCCCCTGTTGTAAGAATGTGAAATGACAAAGAAATAGTTTCTAAATCAGGAAAGAAAACACAGTAAAGGTAGAACCAAGTAGGGAGGATTCAAAGACTCCAGTGGAATATTGTAGAAGCAACACAGAGGTTCTAAGAGTTTCAGTGTGGCTGAATTTATGTTGAGGTCTTAGATATCCATTTGAACTTAAGTTTTGTGCATGGTGGTAGACATGGATACATCTGCAGTCTTCTGCATGTCAGCATCCAGTTATGCCAGTGTCATTTGTTGAAGATGCTTTCTTTTTTCCACTGCATAATTTTACTTCTTAGTAAAAAATCAGGGTCTTTGAATTGATTGCATTGGTCTAGCTGTCTGTTCTAGTGTCAATACCAAGCTGTTTCCATTATTATGGCTCTATAGTGGAGCTTGAAGTCAGGGATGCTGGTGCCTGTCGAAGTTCCTTTACTGCACGAGATTGTTTTTTGGCTATCATTGTTTATTTGTTTTTTCCTATAAACTTGAGAATTGGACTATCAATGTCTGTGAAGAATTGTGCTGGGATTTTGATGGGGATTGCCTTTAATCTGTAGATTGCTTTGGGTAGGATGGCAATTTTTACTATGTTGATCCTACCTATCCAAGAACATGGGAGATCTTTCCATTTTCTGATATCGTCTTTAATTTCTTTTTTTAAAGATCAAAAATACTGATGACAGCTTACAGTTTAGATGATATTAAGTAAGATGAACACTCCTCCCTTAATGGTGGGAATGC